TTTCTTGTTTTCATTTTGTCTGGAAGAGGTATATAAGGCTGACCCTTCAATATTTTGTCGTTGGCCTTGAGATTTCAGACCCATCATTACCTTCCTTCTGCTTTCTTCTCTTCTGACTTCTGAGAAGGCTTCTCTAAGGGTGAGTTTCTTTCCCATTATTCTGCCCCTAACCTCATCTAGACTCTTGTCTAATCCTGACAGGAATTTGAAGACTCTATTCCTTTCACAGATCTCCTGATATAACTTCTTATCCTTAGAACATGACCAATTGTATGTCTCAAACACATCAAGATGCTGCCAGAGTCTCACAAGGTTGTTGAAGTATTGAGTTACACTCAATTCTCCTTGTTGAAGGTTATGTAGCATTGATTCAACCTCAAATAATTCAGAAGTGTTATCTGAAGTTGAGTATGTTTCTTTCACAGCCTCCCAGATCTCTTGAGCTGTTTTGTATAGTAGGAAATTTTCTCCTATACTGGTTGTCATGGAATTGATGAGCCATGACATCACAGTATAATTCTCCTTTTTCCACTTCTTGTAGCCTGGATCTCCTTGATCTGGAGCAGGTGCATCACCTGTTAAATAGTCCTCTTTGTCTTTTCCACACACATACATCATAACGGACTGAGACCATTGTAGATAATTACTACCATTCAGTTTATGGAAAGTAATAATCGAATCTGACTGATTAGGAGTGGTGACTGTGCTTCCATTGATATTCTGGTTGCTGCCATCTCCAGTTGGGACAACCTCTGAATGTTCAGAGGTGACTGGGATAGATCCATCTCTCTCGGTGGTCATCCCATAGGATCCGAACTTAATAATTTTAGAGAATAACCACGCTCTGATACCATGTAAAAAATAACTTGAGAAAGTAAAATGTATTTTATTTCTCTTATTCTGTGTAATACAATGAGATGAATACAGAATATATATAGCTAGAGAAAAGTGGAAGAAGGAAGGAATCCTCCTAATTAAGATTCCCTAATAAAGACAAGATAATTGGGGATATTTAGAGATTCTGAGATCTCTAAGATATCTCCTCATAAATGCTAAATCGGATGAGTAATTATCCGTAATAATCTACACTTTTATATCTACTTGTAATAGTTCTCAGTCATGTAATCCTTCAGTTTTTTGTAATATGTGGCATTTAAGACTAGGTCATCCTCATCTTGAGACCCTAAAGTCCGTACTCAAACATTGTAATGTTCCTTTAATAAAAATGATATTAATTTTTGTTATGCTTGTTGTCTTGGCAAAGCACAGAGATTACCATCTTATCCCTCTACTACACAGTTTCTGATAGAACACTGATATTATTGATTAAGAACTCACACACACAATCGAAGAACACACAGATCACACTGTATTCAACCAAACAAAGATATACAAGCTGTAGACAATTCGAGATGCCCAATCTCCTAGCCCAGTTCTAGCCAAAATGACAGATACCTCTAGCTAGCTTATTCGACTTCTATTTATAGTAACAGTCCACGCAGGGACCTTACTAACTAACTAACAGACTAGTTAGTTAATCATTATTATTAACCGCCCTATTCTTCCTCCTTTTATACACTTTCTTGTAAAACTGGACCGCATGCTTTACTCCTTGTCTATCAATACTCCCTCCCTGGAAATTCACCTTGTCCTCAAGGTGAAGCTCTGGAAATTGTTCCTTGAGTGCTAATAAAGGTTCCCAGGAGTCTTCAAAGCTTGGCAGATTGCTCCAATGCACCAACACTTCCACATTCCCCTCCTTGTCAACCCTTGTATCCAAAATATCTTCTGGCACCACCTGTAGTTCCAATTCCTCACTGAGGCAATTGGGTAGAGGCTGGTAAAAAGTAGTAGGGGATATAGCCTTTTTGAGCAATGATATATGGAAAACTGGATGGATTTTACTGTCATCTGGTAGTTTGGCTCCGTCCTTACATGGCCCATAAGTTAGAACCACGGTTCCGACCTTGTATTTTCCTTGGCTATTGCGACCAACAAAATGCTTATTGTTGCCTTGATCCTACTTCCAATAAGATCTTTATTAGTCGGCATCTGGTGTTCAATGTGTTTGTCTTTCCTTTTTCTAACAATCTAACAACTGTTACAAATCTGTCCTTTGAAATTGATAATTGGCTTCAACCACCTATTTCTTATCTCCCTATTTCAGGTATATCACTAGCAAAGGCGTCTCCTGTTACTCATACGTCGACGTAACAAGACTCCCCTAGTATGTCTAACCCCGCCTCATTTCCACCTCCTACCAATCCAACCGCCTCTCACCCACCGGTTCTTGTCACTTACCATTGCCGGCCCAAACAAAAAGCAACTACCCCATTCTTGCCAATTACACCCAACACCACCACCTCAACAATTATTCCCACTCCCAATACTTCCATATCGACCTTGGATCACCATCATGATCCACACCCCTCCCCACCCAAACGCACCCACCCAATGACCCTTCGTCCTCGTAAGCAAGCTAATGTTGTCACCCACTCATCGTTACCTCATCATATTATTCCTACTTGTGCTTCTCAAGCTTTACAGGGAGGCTATGTCTGTGGAATTTGACGCCTTGGTTCAATAAGGGACTTGGGAGCTTGTACCTGCTCATCGTGATCAAAACGTTGTTGGTTGCAAATGGGTCTATATTGTGAAATATAAGCCCGATGGATCCTTGGATCATTTCAAAGCTCGACTGGTGGCTAAGGGCTTTCATCAATGCCCGGGGATTGATTACTCTAAGACCTTTAGCCCAATTATCAAACCAGTTACTATTCGGGTTGTTCTAACCATTGCTTTTTCTCATGGCCGGCAGATCAATCAGCTAGATGTCAATAATGCATTTCTACATAGGGCTCTCCAAGAGGAAGTTTACATGAACAACCTCCCGGCTTCAATGATGGCTCTGGGAGAGTATGTCGTCTTAAAAAATCCATCTACGGGCTTAAACAAGCTCCTCGAGTGTGGTACCAGTCTCTTAGTGGATTTCATTTATCCCTTGGTTTTCATCAATCCGTTTCTGATGCCCGTCTCTTCATATTTTCTTCTTATCCCTCTTATATTTATGTGCTAGTATATGGGGATGATATTATTGTCACTGGCTAATGGCTCTACACCAGCTTTAATTCATCAAACTATTGACTTATTGGCACATAAATTCTCCATTAAGGATTTAGGATCCTTACATTATTTCTTGGGCATCCAGGTCACCCACCCCTACACAAGATGGTCTTTTTCTTGATCAACACAAGTACATGACAGATTTATTACAGGTGTTGAATATGCATGAGGCTAATCCAGTATCCACACCTTTAGCTTCTTCAACTTCATCGACTCTGTTTGATAGTTTGGGTTCTTGTGATGCAAATCTCTATCGGCATGTCATTGGCTCCCTTCAGTATTTAAGCCTCACTAGACCTGACACTGCCTTTGCCATCAACAAGCTAGCTCAGTTTATGCACAAACCCACGGTGAATCATTGGCAACTCATGAAACGCCTCTTCCGTTATCTTCAAGGAACTACCTCTCATGGTTTATATCTCCGACAGAGTTCTTCCCTTTCCTTTATGTGGTTATGCTGATGCAGATTGGGCAGGGAATCCTAATGACCGCTCCTCTACCAGCGCCTATTTCCTGGAAATCATCCAAGCAACAAACAATTGCCAAATCCTCTATCGAAGCAGAGTATCGGGCTCTTTTCACTGTTGCATCCGAAACCCTCTGGATCGAGTCACTTCTTCACGAGCTCCGACATTCACCTACTTCCCCTCCGCTTCTTCTATGTGATAATAAAGGCGCTACCACCTCTTCCGCCAATCCCGTATTTCATTCCCGCATGAAACATGTTGCCATTGATTTCCATTTTGTCCGTCAACGTGTGCAACGTGGTCTTCTTCGAGTCCTTCATATCCCCTCGCATGATCAGCTAGCTGACATTTTCACCAAACCCCTTTCACGACAACGGTTCGTTTTTCTACGTGATAGAATACTTGGCTTGCGGGGGCATATAGAAGAGTCTAGACAGCTCCAGAGAACCGTTACATAAGCTACACAATACATTAGAAATATTTGTATTTAATATTATAAATCAGTTACAAATCTTTGTATTTAATATTATAATTAGTAGCCTACCTTATTAGTCTCTAGACTGTTGTATAAATAGGATATCATTTTCTGGAATGAATCAAGCCTTTCAGTCTCAATCTATTCCTACTCTAAAATCTATTAATCTCAACATTATGTGATGTTGATTGGGCTTCTGATGCTATTGATAGGAGATCTAGTTCTGGGTCTTGCACTTTTCTTGGCCCTAACATCATTTCCTGGTGGTCCAAGAAACAGTTGTGGGTGGTTAGACCTTCAACGGAAGCTGAATAGAGAAGTCTTGCAGATACATCAACAGAACTCTTATGGGTTGAGTTTTTACTAAAGGAACTTCAAGTTCCATTTAACACTCCAAGAGTTTACTGTGACAATCTGAGTACAGTTTAGCTTGCACATAATCTTGTGCTACATTCTTGAATTAAATATATGGAAATTGATCTCTTCATTGTTTGAGAAAAAGTTCAATCCAAGCTACTTGCAGTCTTCCATATTCCAGCTCTTCATCAACTTGCTGATGTCCTAACTAAGCCCTTATCTGCCTCCTCCTTTCTTGACTTAAGAACCAAGCTAGTGTGATTGAATTTCCAAATCAATCACCCTAACTTTGAGGGTGAAATGTTAGGAATACTGTACGCTTACTGATTGTAAGAAGCTTTGCATCACGTAACAGTATTGTTTGTTTGTTTTGACTGTTCAAAGTCAGTTATTAGTTAGGTAAGCTTTCATTACTATAAATACTTTGTACAGTTCATATTGATTAATGAGAATCTTCTTTCACCTCTCTTCTATCTCTGTTACATTTCTATTACTTTGAGTATTCTTACCCTCATGACATGTTTAGCTATGGAAGAATTATGTCCTCTCTCTTGGAATAACTGATGTTTTCCGTGCAGTAGGAGAAATAGATTATGTGAGAGTATTGAATAAAGTACTTCCCATGGACATTCGAGTTTTGGGTTGGTCTCCTGTTCCGATGGGCTTCAGTGCAAGGTTTGCGTTCTTCATTTAACACCCTCTCATAACTTTCTCATGAGATAAGAGAGATTGGAAAAAATTAATAAATGAATGAACGAAAATCATTGTAATGATCCATTATCGGCTTGCATATGCCTTGAGATGTATGAAGTTGACATACTTGCAGCTCTCTGCTTTGCTATGTATTCCTGAGTTGAACATACGAAGTTTTATGACGAGAACAGAAAATAAAAATCAACGGTAGAAACCGTTGCCCAGAGCCAATAGACTGAAATCCAATTTTATCAGTTGATAAGCAAGAATGAACCCTAACAAGGGGTTTAAATACCCTTCTAATAACAGCCCCAAACAGAAACCCTAATCGAGCCCAAATTAAGTAAACCCTAATTAGGCCCAAATTAACTCTACTAAACACTCTACTAATAACAGGCCCAAACTAGAAAAACTTAACATAAAGTTAATAATAAGTGAAACTAAAACTCCAATCAACAACCAGCCCACAAATGTGAGCTCAAGTCCATCCCCGCCTTTGGTAAAGCAACAGGGCCTCGGTCTCTCTTCCTGCAAGCCGAGCTCCTGCTCTATATCAATTCCATCCCTTTTCAAAACAACCTAGTCCTCAAGGTTGAAATTCGGAAACTGGCTCACAGAACTCTCCTCACTCATCCAAGTAGTATCATCACTGGATTTCCCCAAGTATTCGATCTTGAGACACCCAAAGGCACACCTCTGTTTATTAATCGCCGGGTTACCCCTTAACTTAACTCGGTTACCACCCCACTCGAAATTCATAGACAATGTTTCTCAATTTGTTCGTACTTCTCCCAACGTGGCCAACCAAGCTACTCCCAAAATGATGTCAACCCCAGCCAAAGCACACATAGCAATCAGCCTTAACAGCACATCATGGCAATGAGATACGAAGTTGTCTATACATTCCCTCTGACTCTTGTCTATGCCCATCTCCCAGCTGCAATCTAAATCTGCATGTCTTGTCCGAATGCAATCGTAATAGGGAGACCAAGGATGAAACAATAAAGTTGTGGCCTGCGTTGCTGTCTATTATAATGGTCACCGTGCATCCCACTACCACCCCTCGGAGTCTCATAGTTCGAGGGCTGAAATTTTCAGCCATAGAATAGACTGGAAAATATCCCCCATCTCCTTCCGAACCCCCCTGATCTTCCGGAACTTCTTCCTTGCTGGTTGTCTCACAATAATCATGTTGTTGGAGGTCCAAATCCTCCTCTTCCTCAGCTATCATCACCCGTAACTGCTTAAACAGGCAGTCATGCCCTAGTGTAAAAGGTTTCTTACACTTGAAGCATGATCCTTTTGCCCGCAATTCTTCTAATACCTTCGGCAGAAGTATAGTGAACCTGGAACGTGAAGTAGACTGATCGGATAGCCGTGAATTTGTCCCCGGAGGCTGCCCGATATCTTTAGGAAAGCTGTCACTCGATCCCCTTATGTTGCCACCACTCATGGTCGTGCCGTTACCCCCACTTGGTCACGAAAAAACTAGTCTTGGAGGTCCTGTTACATCTGCATACCTGGTAGATAGAACTCAAGGTTCGGAAATATGTGCAGCTAAGTTAACAGATTATGCTCATCAGGACATCCTTACTGTCACTGGACAAGCAAATGAATCTCAAGCTACTTCGCATTCGGGTTCTACAAATGGAATTAGTGGCGAAATGAGAGATGCAGCATTCAGCAATGAAGTGGAACAATTATGGGGCAGGGTGAAAACAAATTCACTATATTTGGGTGCCGGGACTGCTAGTATAGAGAATAATGAGAAAATAGAAGAGGAAAAATATGGAAGGAAGCTTCAAGGAATCATTAGTTCACACACTGATGCTATTGAGGGACTAATCAAACATGGATGGATACTGAAGATTGAAAAGCACGGTTTCGTTGTTTGGTACTACAATAGCTGGCAAGATTTTTCTCCCCAGTTTGAGTTGAGGTTTGTTCCGGACTCTAAATTAAACTCAAGCTATTCGGTTGCACCAAGGAGGGAGTTTGCGGGGCATCTTACTGTGATGAAGAAATTCTTGTACTTCTCTGGTGAACTGGAGGCTCGTGTGACTGCATTACTTAGGGAGGTCAAGAAGCATGTAAATATCATTCTTCTTATCGATAAGATCCTTACTCTAATTGATTTGGACCCGGATGAGAGAGGAAGCAAGGGTTCTGGACTTGGCTTTGCTAATCTGTTAAGGCCATTACTGGGGTTTCAACCTATAAGGGTTCATGAACAGAGCCAGGAGGATACTGTCCAGGTACTGCCAGGGCTGAGTGAGAATGATGAGTATAGTAAGTATAAATATACTTATGAGGCCATAACAGCTGCTGTGCAACTTTCAGCTAGAGACAAGAGTGATAGATATCTTCCAGATACAGCCATTGATTTTATTGGTAAGGTTGGGTTGATGAAGTCTATCTTGAAGCCTGATTTTAAAGTTGATCAGCTTTCGGTTCTGGATGTGGAAGGCTGCAATGTGGTATTTTCTGCAATTCGGGACTCCTCTGATCCTGTACTGAGATGGACTGATGAGTCTGCTCTTGGTAGCAATATTGAAGGACATGTTCATAAAATACAGGAGTTTTGGGCGGTCATCACTTTTAAGGAATCGGGAAACCAATATGTTCTTGAGTATTCTGCCCGAAGTTCATCAGGAACCAGTCCCTGAAGCTCGTTCTGTTGCGGCAAGAGCTATTCGCTCTCTTATAAGGGAAAGGAAAGAAGAAAACTTCCCAGACTTGGGACTTTGGCGGTTGGAGAATCTGACATCGCATGGCAGTACTGTGGTGCACAACTTATTTTGCATAAGGCTTGTTGTAGACAGTGAATTGAGTAATTTGAGCAACCTCAAATCTGCATCCAACTCACTGATAACTTCAGAAGTAAGAGTCCTTGAGGAGTTTTTTGAAAAAGAGGAATTAATTGTAGCCAGTAAGTGCTTGAAGGTCACTGCAACAAATGAAACTGCACTCGTCATATCTTCTGCAGCCACATCTATGATTTTGGAGGTACAAGTACCGAAGCTTCTGATTCAACAAACTGCGAGATCTTGGGAAGGAAGAGGCGCCCGGATAAAGAAGATGTTGAAGGTCAACAAGGCTGTTTCCTATCACCCACCTTGAGGACAATGTGGTTGTTCAAGGGGGGAGATATGATAGGGACATGGACAGCCTATGTTAGAACACTGAAAATCCGATCAAGAAATTATCAAGAAATAAGATCAATAGAAAGTTTATTGATGTAGAAGAAGAGTATGGAACGTATACAAAGCCCAGGACAATTCGAGATGCCCAATCTCCCAGCCTATTCTCAACAGAATATTTGCCTGCCTATCCTTTCCCCCCTTCCTTACTATTTATAGTACTTCTATTTCTATTACAAGCCCACTTATTATTATCTACAATAATCGGCCCATTCCTATCAATACTCCCCCCTAAACAACCACCTTGTCCTCAAGGTGGGGAGTAATAAACAGGCATGCTATTCAACTTCATCTTGGCACCTCTGCCTTCCCAATATTTCCTGGATTTCTGAGCTAGGAGCTCCACTTCTTGAACATTCATCATCACTTCCTCTTTCATATGGATTAGTTGCTGACAAACTGGTAAAGCAGCTCTGACCAGGTCAACGGGTGTTGGTGGCTGGTCTTGACAGAAGTTAAACAAAATCCATGTAGTGTTTCTCATCATAGAAAGCTTTTCAGGCTCATTCAACTGTCCTAAAGATGGTAAGAGTGAATCATGACCAATACCCAGGTCCTTACAGGTTGAATCATCACCAGCAGAACCAAATAATGTTGTAGATGATGCAAGAACTGCATGCCTTGCTTCCGTACGACCCTGCCATTTGCCTCTCAAACAACTTTCACTAATTCCAGTAACTCTCCAGAAATTTATGGCCAGTTTATGCATCATATCAAGCTCAGTAGATGCATTGTTTTTATCTACAAAGGAAACCTGTCCAATAAGATCAATGGCTTTTGCGACCCCACACAATCTTCCCCTCTCACCATCCCTGCGTAATAGACTTAGAATCATACTGGCTGAATCAATATAGTTGATAATACAGTTCTATCTGAGGTTTCGAGATCTGCAGTCATCAGATCAACAACAAACAAACTGCCACCAACCAATACACATGTCACTATGTTGGCTACAGCCTTCATCAATACCTCGTTTAGGCCCTGTGCAGCTTCAACAACTGTCTCTTCGAGCAAAGCAGGCTTTGAAAGTGAGCTGGCATCGGCCTCAACATTTGCTGCGCCTTCCGGATTATCTGGTGGTCGTCTCGTGGGTTGAATATCATCATCCTTCATTTCCATAAACGTGTAATGAATGCCATAGATAGCAGAGAATGTGGTACTGGTAATCAACTCTTTAGAACATTTACCATTAGAAACTCCAGGAGCAGCTTGCCCCGACTTCAGAGAAACAGTTGTAAGTTTGAATGTACCAATTCCTGTCCCGGCTAGGAAGGATTGTGATTGATACATTAAAGGATAGAGCCCAGTTGGAAAGACAAAAACATCAGGCCCCGTAGTCATCACAGCCTGATCTGATTTCCACGCCAGTGCTTGAATCCTCCTTCCCTGAGTTTTATCTGTGACTTTTCCCTGCTCCTCCAGTTTCCTTGACAGCTGATCCTTCGCTTTACCCGCATGAATTCCATTTTCATCCATCTCAGGGGGTTTCGTACCTTCATGATGATTTGGATCATCATCTGGATTTGGTTCCTTGATTACAGCTTCAATTGACTTCAACTTGATATTCGTTATCGAATGTGTAGTCTCCAACAATCTAATTCCAGGATCAGTAATGTAAATGGCTCTCGAAGAAGGAGAAATTTTCGCAGGGGAATGAACCTCTTGGGACAAAACTTGCGCAGCTGGCGACACGACTTGCGAAGAAGAAAATTCTTCTCTTGGTAGCGTCGCATTCTGATGCGAGTGGATAGCCGATGGGAACGCCTGCGGCGTGAATTGCGAACTGAGAGTGTGAGTTTGCGATTGTGAGCTGGTAATTGGGTTTCGTGACTGCAATCTTGTTTCACTTGAAGAAGAAGTTTGCGAGTGTGATTGCGAAGACTTCTGCGAACGTATGAGGAATTCCGATGATGGACTGTAAGAACAAACAGTATTTCTTGGCGAAGATTCTTGCGAACTGGAATGATGCGTGAGTGTCGAACTGTGCGACCTATGAGAAGTTGTACGCGAAGGGGCCGGTGAACTGAGGACATCTGTTCGCGGCTGAGAATAGCCCTGCGCAAGTGATGAGGTTTGCGAATTAAGCAAAACTGTTCGCGATCTTCTTCTTGCCTGTAAATGTTCTTCCATAGCATCTAGCTTTCTCGCGAGGTTATCCATCTTTAACTTCACCTCTTGCTGATTCCGCTCCAGCGAATCCATGCGCTCCAACGATTCCAGTCGATGATCCATTTTGCCTCTCGTTCGAACCCTCCACCTTCGAACGAAAAAAATAATCTGGATTTCTGTACTTCTCTGATCAATTCTGTAACTACCAGGAGCGTAATGCTCTGATACCAATGTTAGAACACTGAAAATCCGATCAAGAAATTATCAAGAAATAAGATCAATAGAAAGTTTATTGATGTAGAAGAAGAGTATGAAACGTATACAAAGCCCAGGACAATTCGAGATGCCCAATCTCCCAGCCTATTCTCAACAGAATATTTGCCTGCCTATCCTTTCCCCCCTTCCTTACTATTTATAGTACTTCTATTTCTATTACAAGCCCACTTATTATTATCTACAATAATCGGCCCATTCCTATCAGCCTATAATAATAAGAATAATAGAATTATAATAAATAATGTAATAGTGTACAAATAAGGGTGTTGGGCCATTTATGTTATGATTTTGGGCCAGCCCTTGAGGGTAGCCTTATTATAAGAGTGGGAAGTGGGGAAAGAGGAGGTTAGGCAGAAATTGAACTGGGACTGGGAGTCAGAACTTTGTTTACTCCCCCAGATTATTCTTCTCTTAACGATAATCAATAAACTTTTGCTTTTGATCTTCTTTGCGCATTTCTACCTTCGAACTGGCAAAGATATCTGCCTTTATGCATGAATTGCCTCAGGAAGGTGGGCCTTTTTATTATCCTAGATGAGCCTATTTCGAATCTTCCAAAGATTCCAGATGACAGTGTTAGGAATAACATAGTTAAGGTCCTCAGCATTACCCTTGAATTCAAGAAAGCTCTATGTTTCTCAAGAAAAACCAAGTTCCTCTGAAGAAGTTTATTTCTTCATAGACTAACAACTGAAATATTTAAATGAGATAAATGTCCCCTCTTGTTCAGATACAGATCTTTAAAGACCCATGAACTTGCCCCTAGTTATGCATCATTACCATGGGCCTTATGGCTACCAGGATATAGAACAATATATAGTTTCACGGATTTTCAATTATAAGGAATTGGTTCATACATTCATTAATTTGCAGGTTCTCTTGTTTGAGTAGAGTATACAAGTATTTCTTTTGGATGGGAAATCTTGATGTAATGGTGAGCACATACGACTTGAGTCACTTGACCAGTTGACTACTATTGATTCATGTCCATGCGTTTAGAATTTAGAATATTTATGTTCTTGAATATGCTTTACCAGGCAATGGAGACTGCTTCTCAGAAATTTATTGGAGAGCATGATTTTAGAAACTTTTGTAAAATGGATGCGGCTAATGTGCACAACTATAGGCGGCATATTATATCATTTCAAATGTTCCCTTGCAATGAAAGGTTAAAAATCAATTCTTTTATTTCCGTTGTGTTTTTTCCTGGTTTTCATGACAGTATGACATGATGTAGCACAAGTGAAACACTTTCTTATACTAAAAAGGACGCCTTCCAGATTTTATGAACACATGGTTTTCTTACTTTTCAATTGCCATTCCAATTTTTTTTAAGCATATGAATATATGATGACCAAGTAATATTAATGATGTAATTACGCTCCGTTTCTTTCTAGTTACTGATCAATTATATCCACATTAAATCTCCCAACACATAAAATCTATCATTCTAATTTTCTCCAGTCCCATGCTATACTTCCAAAATATATATTGCCGACATTCCCAAATTTCACTGCAGCTTTGCAAGTGATCAATTGTGGGTGATGAAAATTAGTGGCAGTGCTTTCCTCTGGCATCAGATCAGGTGCATGGTTGCTGTACTATTTTTTATTGGCCAGGGCTTTGAGTCCCCTAATGTATGAAATTCATGTTCTAAGCGCAATTTCCTTCGTGATGATTCAGTATTTGCTATATATGTAGGGTCCTGCTCTTTGTTTGGTTAGTACTTATATGACTGCAAGAACAACAGCAACAACATCCAAGCCTTATTCCCAAAAGATTTTGGGGTCGACTAACTCATAGAGACCCGGACACTCCTCCTAATAACAATAATACTAAGTCTATTAATATTGTTTAATAAAAGGGTCCTAGGCCCAATAACTCAGGGCTGAGAGCCGGCCCTTAGGATAGTATTATAATAATGAGCGGGTAAGGGGAAAAGGGGGGAGGACTTTTGGGATCAGACTGGGAACTGGGAGTGTGAGACTACTCTAAGTGTCTCAATTGTATCGTTCGTTTCTGTTTCTTCTCTTTCTTATATGCTAGGCTACGAATTCTGCCATTGTATTTGCTTCAGGAATCCAGAGGTTTTATCTGTTTTCCCTACTTAATATACATAAACTGTTGGGTCTCTATCATTGGTATCAGAGCATCTTCCTGGAATACCAGTGAATGACCTGGACGAGAGCTAGAATGGAACATCGAGTTGAATCGGTGTAGAATAGTGTTCAGGATCTGCAAACAGTGGTTTACGAAGTGCGGAACTGGATGCTGAACTTGGACCATCGTATGGATGCGAAGATGACGAACTTGGACCATAGGATGGATGAGTTGCAGAATTTGGTAACCCACCAGAGGCAACTTCGATCGCGAGGAAGATCACGAACACCAAGGAGAAAGGAACATGTGTTAGAACACTGATAATTTGATCAAGAAATCTTACTGAAATGGTAAAGAATTGATCAAGAAGTGATCAAGAAAGCTCTATCTTCATTAATCGAGGAAAGTGTACAGCGAGTTCCCAAAGAAACGAGACACCTTGCCTCAATTTCTCCCAGCCCAGTTAAACTGTCTAACAGCCTACCTTTATTACCCACTCCCCTTCTATTTATACTACTCTAGCTATTACTCTTCTTATTTAATCTTATTCTACCGGGTCCCTAACATATCCCCCCCAAACAACCACCTTGTCCTCAAGGTGCGTGATAGGAAACAACCATGATCTTCTCCTTTCTCTTCATCCTTGCGTCTCTCCTTTCCCAATACTTGACTGATTGCTGGACATTCAGCTTCCTTACTTCAATCTTCATGCACATGTACTTCACAGCAAAAATACACAGATGCAAGGACATGGTGGCATAATGCTCCTTAATGTTGTAAAGTATATAATATCCCAAATTCCCAACATCTGCCTCTTTTGTTGTAACCTTGGCTTTTCTTCCAACATCTTTTCCAGGAACTTGATTCTTTCAGATTCTGTAGAGGACAAGGCGCAGCCTGCTGCAACACAGAAAACAGCAACTACTTGCTTTTGAACAATTTCTGGTTTTAAAGATGAATCCACAGGGAGCCTGAATAGTAGAGTCTTGATTCACATTGATTCCACCCAACAGAAATTCTGAAATAAAGTCAACAACATCATTGTGATTCTTAAAATTGACAACAGCACCGAACTCCTTTTTTTCATGAATTTTCCCCTCGACAATGCTACCCAGAGCAAACTTATCTGCCCATTTCAATCCAAAATATGAGGAGTTTCAAGATAGAAGCTTGACAATCTTGTGTTTAGAAAGAAAGCATTCTTGGCTAAATGAAACATCAGTTGAAAGGCGTAATGACTGTTCAGAGGTATCGATTCCCCTGTCATCTGTAGCCTTGCTTTTGGGAGGAAATCCAGTCAAATGCTCTAGATAACGCAGACACACCACTCCCCATTCTGCTATGAATATACCCCTTTTCGAGTTATTTCCCCCCCAAGGGAAACAATAAGCAGTCTGTTCCCACACACACGAACTCTCCTTCACACAACCTTCTAACTGTTTCAAGATCGCCATGTGTTTGTGGAAAATACACAGTGGTGCAACATGTCTATAGAGTATGTCATTCTTTGATCTGCCCCTTCATTTACCTCCACAACTTTATCCAGAGAACTAACTCGTGCCCCGTGATCTGCATATTTCTTCCAGTAAACCAAAAATGCACACTTCTTTATAGTGTTCCCCTCTGCTACTTCATCAATTTCCTCCATTTGTGCAGTCCAGGTGCCAAAATCTAGAGAATTGGTTCTCTCAATGCTCCCTACTCATTCCTCTTCATGAGATATTGCAAAATCATCTACTCGTCGATGCCTGGTGGAAACCTTATGTTTAATGTTTGATTGTATTCCTTTTTCTAGGACACTGATGAAAGCTGTATCTGTTGCTTTGCTATTAATTCCATTATTAACAGCAGTATACGAGGTAGCTTGAGACTCATCTACTTGTCCTGTGACAGTAATGACTTCCTGTTGAGCGGAGCCTATGTATACTTCAGGAACCATTTTGTGCTCCAGTTCAGTAGTATTTGAACCAGCAACTTTATCATCAGCCGATTCACATCCCATGAGAGTAGAGGTTTGAGTCACCCAGAAAATTGCTCCTTGCGTCTGATAGACACTGGTAAAACCGACTCACAACACAGTAGAATCAATAGCAATTATCGAGAAACAAGATCAGAAGAAAGTTTATTGAGGTAGGGAAGTAGTACAGAACGTATACAAGCATTGGACTATTCGAGATGCCCAGTCTCCAAGATCTAAGTCCAACCGAAATAACAGCCTACCTTTCTTAGTTCATGCACTTCTATTTATAGTGGTTTGTCCACGCAGGGAACAATATAACTAACAGACTAGTTAGTTATTACTAACTACTTTTCTACTCTTCTTTTGGCAAACTTTGTTATAAAACTGAACTGGTTGCCGTATTGAGTGTCTATCAACCCCCCCCCCCCCCCCCCCCCCCCCCCGAAAATTCACCTTGTCCTCAAGGTGAAGTTCTGGGAATTGCTCTTTAATCATCAGCAGTGATTCCCATGAGTCCTCAAAGCTTGGCAAATTTTTCCAGTGTATTAGCACTTCTAGGTTCCCTTCTTTGTCAACCCTTGTATCCAAAACATCTTTCGGGACCACTTCCAATTCGAGTTCTTCATTTAAACATTTGGGTAGAGGCTGATAATAAGCAGTAGGTGATATAGCCTTCTTAAGCAAAGAGACATGAAATACAGGATGTATTTTACTGTCATCTGGTAGCTTAAGTTTAAAGGCTACAGAACTTAGTTTGCCAATTATATCAAAGCGGCCATAGTATCTTGGACTTAACTTCTGGTTTATCCTCTTAGCTAAGCTCTTTAGCTTATAAGGCTGTATCTTCAAGTATACCTTATCTCCCACTTCCAGTTGAATCTCCCTCCTCTGCTTGTTGGCTTGTTGCTTAATCTGATTTTGGGCCTTTGCCAAATTGTCTTTTTTTTTTGAACCCGGTAGGCAAACCACCAAAATCAGTGGGGTAGAAGCCGGGGAACATCTACCGAACATCTGCCAAATTGTCTTTTAATTCACTAGCATCATATTCCTGTGAGCAGTTAGTTTGGATACTTCTTCCACAGCTGTGACAGTCACATCACCCCTAATCACTGCAGGAGGGTCCAATCCAAACAAGGCTTTATAAGGTGTCAGTTTCAAGGATGCATGATAATTGGTGTTATACCAAAACTCAGCCCAATGCAACCATTTAAACCACTGCTTAGGTTTTCTCCCTGTCAAACACCTCAAATATGTTTCCAAGCATATGTTTACCACCTCAGTCTGGCCATCAGTCTGTGGGTGGTATGCTGTACTGTATTTCAACCGAGTCCCAACCAATTTAAAAAGTTCTGACCAAAATGCACTTAAAAATACACTGTCTCTGTCACTTACAATGGTTTTGGGGAAATCATGTATCTTGACCACCTCTTTAATGAATAATTCTGCTACTTCTTTGGCATTAAAAGGGTGGGAAAGGGCCAAGAAGTGAGCATACTTGGTCAGTCTGTCAACAATAACCAGAGTGGTGTCTTTTCCTTGAGATTTAGGTAGGCCTCCCATGAAGTCCATACTGATGTCAGTCCAAATACTATTAGGAATTGGCAAAGGCTGTAATAAGCTTGCAAGTTTAAGAGCTTGATATTTGTTTGTTTGACATACAGCACACTCTTCCACAAACTTCTTAATATCCTTTCTCATGCCTTGCCAAAAAAATAAATTGGATATTCTCTTCATGGTTCTAAAGTAACCAGAATGCCCTCCAACAGCAGAATCATGATATTCCTTCAATATCTTGATTATTCTAGGAGATCCCTTAGGTAGAACCAGCTTCTTGTTATAATATAACAGCCCCTTAATAATCTGGAATTCTGAATTTTTGTCCTTGCATGTAGGATCTGAATTCAATTCTTCTTCTAATCCTTCCCACTCTTGACAAGTCACAATAGACAGAGATTGCAGCTGTGGTCTTCTAGATAGAGCATCTGCAGCTCTATTTTCTGCTCCAGGTTTATATTTTATAGTAAAATTATAACCCAATAGTTTAGAAGTCCACTTTTGTTGTTCCTCACCCATCAACCTTTGTTCAGTCAAGAATTTGAGACTTTTTTGGTCAGTATGAACCTCAAAAGTTCTACCCAACAAATAAGGTCTCCATTTTTGAACTGCTAACACAATAGCCATGAGTTCTCTTTCATACACTGATCTGTTTTGATTCCTCTTGGATAGTTCTTTGCTCATGAAAGCTAATGGCCTCCCTTCTTGCATTAGGACTGCCCCCAGACCTGTCCCAGATGCATCTGTTTCAATAATGAAAGGTTTATTGAAATTTGGGGCTGCAAAAACTGGTAGGGAAGTCATAGTTCTTTTCAATTCTTCAAAGGCTTGTGTAGCCTTCATATCCCATTTAAAACTGTCCTTTCTTAGAAGTTGTGTAAGGGGTAATGCAATTCTACTATACCCTTTCACATATCTTCTATAATACCCAGTTAGCCCCAGAAAACCCCTTAATTCCTTCAAATCTTTGGGTTCTGGCCAGCTAACCATTGCCTCTATCTTAGTGGGGTCAGCTGAAACTCC